TCGTCTGTCGAACCATATTTATATTGTCTCAAGTCTTTCTTTCATCCTCGAGGATATTGTTGAGCATTTAAGGCTATATAATAGGACAGTGATTGCGAAATAGCTCAGTATTTTTTCTTTGTTTTTAATGACATTTTAATGTTTCTTAATACTTTGCTGAACTTCAATTATGGTGAAAAAAGTTTTTAAAAAGTGATTGATGTCAATCGGGTGAACATTCTAGAGATTCTTTGTCAAGTCTTTTATTTTCTCGATCGACTGCTCCTCGCCAGTTGTCTACGCTAAGAAAAGACAAATCGGTTTCGACAATGGCCTTCGGGACATGTGGAAAACTGAAATAAAATCAATAAATTAAAATAAAACAAAAACAAAAAACAGTAAAGAATTAACAAAAATAAGAAATAAATACCTTTTCTCATGATGCTAATAATAAAGGAACTGGAATAAATTTTTGGTCATCTAAATAATTTTATGACCCCTACCCCCACTTCCGGAAATAACAGAAGCTTTCTCTTACCACTTTCTAACGCATAGATTCGCACGTGTTTTGCAGCCGCATTTCTGAAGTACTTTGATCGTTACATCTCAGCGAAAGGCTGACTTGACCTTGATCATTTTAACCATTCTTATCCTTACTTACACTAACTTACTCTGAAACCAGAGAAAGAAAACGGACATACCAAATATACACTGAGAATGCTTCCTTACATTTTATATAGAAAAACAAAAAAAGAATAAAAAGGTCCATCGTAGAAATATAAGTTCTTATATAATTCTATTTTATTTGTTTACATGTGATCATGAACATACCTATCATAAACCAATACTCAAGCTTTAAATTCCAGAGAGACTTTGCAGTGGCAGAATTGTGAAAAATAAATGAAAATATGCAGACATTTTTTAAAAATAATTTTCTTGAAAATAATTTCTAAAAGGATTCTTATATTTTTGTTTGAAAGCACATTCAAATTGTCATTTTAAATAATAATGTATGTAAAATAAATTTCAAAATAATATGCTTTGATCTATATCCCCGTCCTTTTTTTATCCTTTCGTTAAACACCCCTCTTCACTCTAACTTTCACACTATGTTACCCCTCCCTCTTTACTTTTATTTTAGCTCTCTGTAACCCTTTGCGTGGTAGTGGCACTCACGCCTTGCTTGGGGTGAAATGCTTAAAAAATGTAACATAAATATTGAAATAATAATTACATTGTTTTATGTGACATGCATATTGAAATTACTTTTGTTAAAATTTTTTTTAAAGCATTTCACCCCAAGCAACGCGCGGTGGCACTATCGCGCAAGAGTTTACAGAGAGTGACAGTAAAGAGGGGGCTGTTTGAGGAAAGGATAAAGAGAAGGACGTGAATCAACTTCAGAGGATGTCGATAGACATTACATTTAAAGTTTTGAATATTATAGTTATCATGGAAGCAAGTAAGAGGAATGGAGTTCCACTGCCAGAAAGTGCGAGAGAAGAAGCTGTTTGAGTAGAAGAGGCGGTTACATTTAACTGTTTTGATAGAAAAAGAGTAGGACCGAGATGCTAATCTAGTAGAACGCTTAAATTCATTCAGTAGTGGCACCAGTAAAAATAGCTCTTTTGAGCATTTGCCATGAAAATATTTGTAGAAAAGACAGAAGGAAGTCACGAAAGTGACCGGTGTCGAGATGCCAGGTCAGGACCTATCATATTGCATATCCGTCTTTGGATTTTGTTGAGAACCTTGAGATGAACAGCTGGTCAACAGACCATATATGGCAACAGACCATATATGACAACAGACCATATATGGCAACAGTCTGCAATCCAAGGACGAATGGCAGATTTATAGATTTGAAGGATGTTCTCAGACAAGAAAAAATTTGTTATATGTAACATAAATATTGAAATAATTATTGTATTGTTATATGTAACCTAAATATTGCAATAATAATTATATTATGTAATATATAACATAAATGTTGAAATAATAATTATGTTATATATAAAATTATAATTATAAAATAGATACTGAAATAATGATATCGTCCTATGTAACATAAATACTGTAATGATAATCATATTATGCTAGAGGCAACAGATGTTCTGTCCTCCGTTCCTGCTATAACCATACAATAAAGAGATTGATTTAAAGTGATGTTATATTAAAACAAAAATAATTTTTAACTTCAATGATATTGAAATTAAAATATTATGCAATAAATTTTTAATATTTCTCATTTCTAATTTTTTTTAGCCATGTGAATATATTTTTTACTATTATACATCTTTTCTTTGTCCTTAAGTATTCGATTTGAAAATTATAATATCGTTGATCGAATTTTCCTTGTGTTGCAAATCTGACACTAAATGAATGATTAAAAGTAACCATTAGTCAATGGCATTAAATCACATACTATCTTAAATCTACAATGTATGCGAATAAAGAAAGAGATTAAGACGTAAAAAAAAGATATAATTGAAAAAATATGGCATATTTATATAATAAAGGCGATGCAATATTTACATCTCTTAAAAATTATCCGCAATGCCTCGAAGGTTGATTTCAAATTTCCGCCATTATTAAAATATAAAAGGTTGTAATTGCCGTTGAGAGAACGGAGAGAGCGAAGGGTTGACTAGAAAATGGAGACTGCAAATTGTATATTTTCGCCGTAGGTGAGGTACTGCCTAAGAGAAAGACCCCCTGGAGATAAATACATTGTAATTAATTTTAACTTCTGGCTAGTTCTGGATATTAGAATCAAAAAGTAAATTGTGATATCTTTCGATTCTTCAAGATTACCTTTTTAAATTAGAAGATGGCGATTGACAATGCATTTACATTTTTAAAGATTGTAGGTGACAGGGAAGTAAGAAATTGGAGTGCGAGAAAAGTATTTATTAGAATAGAACTGAAGGTTGCACCGAACGAGTTCAACAGTAAAAACGTGAGACCTAATTGCCAATCTAGTAGCGCGTTTAAATTCAGGATGTCAATGAACTAAAGAAGAAAAAAAATAATCAGAACAGTTCCCATGAAAATATTAGAAAAATCGGAGAGAATCCAGGCCACGTCGTTTAAGTTGATATGCCAGATCAGGATTGATTAAGTTGATATGCCAGATCAGGATTGATTAAGTTGATATGCCAGATCAGGATTGATTATATTATTATGGATTTTTATTGAGACTCTAGATATATACAACCAGAGTCCCAGACCAGATATGGCAGCAGTATTCAATGCATGGATGAATGATAGATTTCTAAATGTATAAAAAGGATTTTGACGAGAAAGAAATGTTTGACACGGTAGAGTAAACGAAGTTTCCTTGACAAGGCAATTGATTCCATATAGTCACTCCATTTAATGTCAATGGTAAGCACGAACCAAAGAAGATACAAAATGTTGCTCTTCTGGAGATTGACATCTTCCATGCTGATGGCAGGCAGATTCTCCGTGCTTATTAAATAAAAGAAGTTTTGTTTGGGAGGGGTTGAAATCTACAGAACATTTCCCGTCCAAGCTAATCACTGATTGGTGATCCTTCTCCAGAGCAGATTACTTTGTTGGATCTGTCGGACTTGCTACTAAAGCAGGAGTAAATGGTTGTGTCATATGCACAAATATTTAGTAGAGACCTGATGTCACCGGTGAGTTTCGAGGTGAAGATCAGAAGCAGCGTAGGTCAAAGAATAGAGCCTTAGGTAATCCCGAGCTAGTATGAGAGGATCACGAAGCGAATGGGGTTTAATTACCCGATTTTTAAGGAACGATTAGATTAAACCACATATTTGTCCTGTGAGACCGTAACCCTTGAGTTTGCGGAGAAAGTCTTTGAGATATCTAGAGCCACAGTCTGAGCTTCGGTGTTCTTATATGAAGCTTGATATACAAATTCAATAACGGCCGTTAACACATCGGCAGTAGACAAGGCGAAACAAAAGCTATGTTGCTTGTTCATAAGTAGTCCGTGTGAATTAAGATGCTTAGCCAATTCGGCTTTCATTACAACCTCGAGTACTTTGCCAAAAAGGAATCAGAGAATAACTACAGAGAAGAACTTCAAAAATCCTGGAAATTAAGCACCAGCAAGACACTTTCATTGTTTAGAGAGAACAGGAGCCAGTTCAGGAGCAAATTTCTTTAGGACGACGGATGGATTACTTCAGGATCAGTATGCCTTGCGTGGGATCTAGTTTCAAAATGATAGCATAAACCAAAGACAGAGTAATGCGCATATCAATCAATACAGCTTTCTTTCGCGAGGGAAAAATCGGGTAGAGATACTCCAGATAAGTCGAAAGTGGAGATGGGCGAGAATTTCCGAGGAAAGCCCTTTGCATTATCTGAAATAGATGTCAATACTTCAAATTTATTTAAGATTAAAGAGACTGAGGATATAGTTTGGTTCAGCACACTCTTGCAGAGCCGCCAGTAATCTCTAGAACCAAAATTATGAGAAGCTATACGTTGTCGTATTCTATCAGCAAATAGTGATTTTACTTCTTTTATTTTTGTTTCTTTGTACACATTACGAGTAATGACGAAGAAATGTATGTTTCAATCGGACCTGTCGATCTGGCAGAGCCGGAAGATGATGATTCCTCTGGGCTATAGCGGCTGAATAGGCAGGAAAGAACCAAGAAGGGTGTATTGCCACGGTGGATCGAATGTTTCGATTTCGGCTTTCGCCATAGGAGAACTCAGTGATACATTTCTCAACAGGATGATAAAATATAATTCTAAGGGGTATTGCGAAGCAAATCAACACTCACCAGTCATGGACATTGATAATAGAAAGATGATTAATTAATAGGGGGTACCTGACTAATAGGAGAGCGGAAAAGTAATATCTATAGGCATCCGCATGGTCAGGGTTACAAAGAAGACAGAGCTTTGGAGTACGACATGCTTGCAATGAATGGTTAATGGAGAGAGCAAGTAGAGAAGAGTGTCCGTCTAAATTACTGGGGAAATACGTGGGGAAGTCTACTGAGTGAGAGATTGAGAAATGGTGTTCTATCTATCTATCTATCTATCTATCTATCTCTCTATCTATCTATCTATCTATCTATCTATCTAACCCTGTTACTATCTATCTATCTATCTATCTATTTACTCTTTTTCTCATCATCACAATTTAA